CCACGAGCGGGAGGGTCGCCCCTACTGTCGCCGGGACTTCCTGCAGCTGTTTGCCCCGCGCTGCCAGGGCTGCCAGGGCCCCATTCTGGATAACTACATCTCGGCGCTCAGCGCGCTCTGGCACCCTGACTGTTTCGTCTGCAGGGTGCGCTGTGGGAGGGGCGGGGCTAGGATTCTGGGGCGGGGCCTCGGGGCGGGACTAGGGGCCTGGGGCGGGGCCGCGGGAGTCGCAGTGGGTTACTGGGACAGCAACGCGAGTTGTCTGCTCGGGGCTGTGCCGAATGACCCTTCTCGGCCTTCCCTCCCCAGGAATGCTTCGCGCCCTTCTCGGGAGGCAGCTTTTTCGAGCACGAGGGCCGCCCGCTGTGCGAGAATCATTTCCACGCGCGGCGCGGCTCGCTGTGCGCCACGTGTGGCCTCCCAGTGACCGGCCGCTGCGTATCTGCCCTGGGCCGCCGCTTCCACCCGGACCACTTCACCTGCACCTTCTGCCTGCGCCCGCTCACCAAGGGCTCTTTCCAGGAGCGCGCGGGCAAACCCTACTGCCAGCCCTGCTTCCTTAAGCTCTTTGGCTGACCGCGCGCCGGCTCGGCCCTCCAGCAGGCCGCGTCCCCAAAGACCCCGGCCTTCCGGAAAAGACCGAGTCCTCCAGACCCCAAGGCTGTCCCCAACACCCCGCTCTGAGGCCCCGCCCACTGGAGAGATCCAACTCTAAGGTACTTATCTAAGTTCTCGAAGGTCAAGTTCAGAAGAGGCCCAGCCAGTGCTAAACCCACACGCCCCAAGAGTGGATCGTACCCTGAGGAGAGATCCCGCGTGAGTCCCTCACTCTCTTCCCACCGTGAGGGAGTCCCGTGACTGGAGGAGGGTCCTTGCAATTCCGACTAATTGGAACCCAGTCCTGGACGTCCCTGCTCCTCACTCCCTCACTGTTTTGTGCACTTTTTTCTACCTACATAAACACACATTCCACTTCTCACTGGTGCTGTGTCTCTGCGCGGAAGAGCCTCGCCTCCAGAAGCCCCCACCCTCTGTCCCCGGCGGTCTCTAGGCCACTGCCCTGTGGCCCGAGTGGGACCTGTAGGCTCAGCCCATGCAGGTGACCACTCCTGAACTTCAAATGTCAGATGAGCCCGAGTCTGGAAAGGGCAATGACCTGTACAGGCAGGATTGTATAGAGAGTGGCGGAGCCAGGACGAGCTCAAGCTGGTGCCGAAACAAACATTCCAGTCCTCATTACCTCTTCTTCAGCTCCCTATATCCTTATCCTTGAAATATGCACTTAATCTGCTCCCCCTACCACCCTGCCTTTGTTTGGTTCCCAAATTTTGGGGCTCCTTCCAGAAGTGCCAATTTATGCCCACACTTTGGGTCTGGGCACTAATGCACAGCTCCCTCTTACTTGTATTGACCCACAACATTGCTGATCACCTGTAGGTTTACCCCTTTCTCACCCCTGCCCTCAAATATCCACTTCGAGGGGAGACCATCAGCATGTCCAGAGTCATTATTTACTTTCCCTATTGGTTCATCAGTCTCTCCCTGAGGCTTTTCCTGGCCCAGCCCTGTGCTGGGTTGTGCTGGGTGCACAAGGATGAGTCAGGCCTAGGCAGTCACTTACCTGGAGAGCCCTAGGCTGGCCAAGGAGACTGATACTTAGGCAGAAGATGACACTTGGTGTGGCCAGGGCAGCGACTGAAGGAAGCACTGGGGGCCATAGGACCTGGAAGGACACTTCTGACCCATACTGGAGTCAGGGAAGTCTTCCTAGAGGTGGTGACACTTGAGCTAAGTCCGGGTGTGGAGAAGTTCATGCTCCATCTGAGTCCCCAAATTCCAGGGACTTTTCTGAGCCCCAGAACTTTTGCCTTGGACCCTACAATTCCCTAGGGATGGGGCCTGGGCCCCTGAGTCCAGACTACAGGGACCTTTGGTGCTGGAAATGGGGGATCCTCAAAGGCCCTTCCAGCTCATCAGGAAGAGCTTAGAGCCAAGGAGAGCATGTGTGGGCAAGAGACAAAGATGAGGTGTCCTTTGCCTCTGGCAGACCCCAGATCTTTTCCTTTCTGAGGCTCCTCTTCTTGGGTCTTCCCAGGTCTCCTACTCTTCTCCTTCCACACGTTCTCCCCGGGGACTGCTGCTCATACCCTAGCATATAGCCACTTCCCTCTCTTGAGGATGCTCAAACTGGCCATCTCCACTCTTGATTCATTTATTCATCAAATGTGCATTGAGCACTTACTGTGACAGGCTCTGGGGAGACAATGGGGAACCAAGCAGACACTCTCCTTGCCCTCGGGGAGCTGAAGTCTACTAGGGGAGACAGATGACAAACAAGTACACAAGTGGCAAGTGTGTTGAAGGAATGGGGCCTTCCCTGACCGCCTAGGTAAAGTCAACTCTTGCCCTGCTTTCGACCTCACAGCACCTCCCTAGTTTCTTCAAAACACATATTGCTATTGTGAATTATTTGTTGCTTGTTTTTGTCTGTTTCTGAGACTGGAGTAAAAGCTCCTGAGAGCAGGGAACATGTTTGCTTTGCTGACCATTGTCTCTCCAGTGTCTAAAATGGTGCCTAGTCTAGTCTGGCTTAGTAGGTGCTCAGTAAATGTTTATTCATGAAGGAAGGAACGAAGGAAGAAGAAAGGAAAGGAGGGAGGGTGAGAAGGAAAAAAAAAGAGAACCAAGTTAGAGAAGGTGGGGAAGGGGTTACTTTTTCCAGGTAGCCAGATAAGGGCTCTGTGAACATGTAACGTCTAAGCTGAGACTTTAAGGTTGAAAAAGAGCCAGCCAGGCAAAGAGCCTGAGAAGAACATTCCAGGCTGAGTGAACAGCAAGTATGAAGGCAGGAGGTAGGGAAGAGCTGGCATACTGGAAGAAAGGAAAGAAGGCCAGTGTGGCTACATTAGTGTGAGCAATGGGGGGAGTATAGGAAACAAGGTCAAAGAGGAAATACATGTCACATCATGAAAGGTCTCATATGTCACCGTGAGGGCATGTAGATTTTACATTAAGTACCTATAAACCAAGTGTGTCCTCTGACACTTTCCCCTGGAATTCTCTCAGGCACTTCAAACTCATCATCCCTAAAGCAGACACTGTGAGTGTCCTGCTCATGTCTGCTTGGTCCACCTTGGAAGTCACATGCAGACAGTTTCCAGACATGCAGACTCCCCAGCTGCTTCCCGAGTTTCTTGTCTGAGTATGTTCTGGAAGAGGAAGCATGCTCCGTGTATCCGGCAGGCCTGAAGTATGTGTGCAAGCTCCTGCATCTTTTAACCAGTGAGAGACGGGAATTGGTGAATACCCCAAATTCCTGGCCTCTTAAGGGTCAGTTCTGAGGGGTGCTCTCTGCAGTGTCTCAGAGGGTCCCCATTGGGATAGGGTTCCAACTGCTTAGAGTGGTAACCTGTTAAACAGCAAGCCCTTTATTGGCTTTTCTCTGTCCTTTGTCTCACTTCCAAACTCCTCCACAGCCCTTACTGGGGTCACCTCACCAGCAAAGTCCTTGCACCCAAATTCCCATCCCAGGGCCTGATTTTGAAGGAACTCATACTAAGGCTCTCCTTAAACAAAACTCTTCAGGGTCTGGCCTGTGGCTCACTTGGGAGAGTGTGGTGCTGATAACACCAAGGCCACGAGTTCGGATCCCTATATAGGGATGGCCGGTTAGCTCACTTGGGAGAGCGTGAAGCTGACAACAAGTTAAGATCTCCTTACCATTCATCTTCTAAACAAACAAAAAACAGAACTCTTCATATGCCCCTAAAATATTTTTCTCCGTTTCCCATCTCAAGGATGGCTGCATCTGCCATAATTAGACAGTAGCTCCTCTTGATCATTCCCTGTCATCCAAGCCTGGTCAATTCTTCTAGAAAGGCAGATGTACAAATATTCACCAGGCCCCTCCCTTCTTGTATCCAGCCCTGTGCTGAGCAATGGGGGGACTCCAGGGATGAATCGGATCAGTCCCTGCTCTTGAGAAAGCTCTAGTCTGTCGGGGATACAGACCTGGACCCAGACAAGGGCCATACAATGTACGTAGAACTGTATCAGAAAAGTCAGAGAAATTGTTCTTGAAGAGGTGACACAGGCTGGGTACTGAAGGCTGAGCAGGAGTTGGCCATTTGGGAGGCAGGGAGGCACTCTAAGCAGAAGGCACTGCTTATGCAAAGGTTTGGGGGTGCTATGGTGTGACTGTTTATCCCCTCCAAAGCTCACATGGAAGCTGGATCCCCAGTGTGGCAGTGTTGAGAGGTGGAGCCTTGGGAAGGTGATTGGATCATGAGGGCTACGCCCTCCTGAATGGATTAATCCATTCATGGGTTAATGGATTATTGAGTTAATGGATGAGAGGGTTATCATGGAGGGGCACTGGTGGCTTCATAAGGAGAGCAAATGAGCATGTTAGCACACTCTTGCCCCCTGGCCATGTGATACCCCATACTGCCTCAGGACTCTGCAGAGAGTCCCCCCAGGAACGAAGCCCTCACAAGATATGCTCCCTTGACCTTGGAGCAATCAAGAGTATGAATATCAGAAAAATGTAGGATAAAAGTACAATAGAGATGAGTCAGGCAGAGAATCAAAATTTTTCTATATTTTGTAATGTTTGTAATATTTTTCAGCATTTAAAGATCTGTAATTAGTTGTGATGTCTTTTATAATTCTAAATAAATACTCATTTTTGTACCTAATTCTGCAGGAGTCTTTTTTTTTTTTTTTTTTGTCTTTTTCGTGACTGATAAGGGGATCGCAACCCTTGGTGTGGTGTCGCCCACACGATGCTCAGCCAGTGAATGCACCGGCCAGTCCTATATAGGATCTGAACCCGTGGCGGGAGCATCGCTGTGCTCCCAGCGCCGCACTCTCCCGAGTGCGCCAAGGGGCCGACCCTAAATTTCTTTTCTTTATAAATTACCCAGTTTCAGGTATTCCGTAACTGTTCAGGTATAAGCAACAGAAAACTAACTAATACAGGGGGTATGAAAATATCTGGGCTGGGCAGGGCAAGGGAATGGGAAGGGAAAAGTGATTTCACCCTAGGTTTGGTAGGAAGAAGCGAGGGGAAGGGTGAGTGGGAGTCAGGGCACAACAGGCCTTGAAAATCGGGCTGAGGAGTTTGTATTTCCTCCTGATTGTGATGGGGAGCTATGGAAGGTTTCTAAGCAGGGGAGTGGTACTGTCAGATTTGGGTTTGAAAACGATTCCTCTGGATTAGTCAGAATCAGGGGGCTGGCTCAGCCAAGCTCTCTAGGTCAAGGCTGAAGCATACACATTTTTAAGGGGTGAAGGAGGTGATTTTGAGCCTGGGGCACTGAGGAGGGGGTGGTGGCTAAGGCCCAGGAAGGAATGCTCCTGAACTTGAAAGGGTCCAGCTCCCCAGGAAGAGCTTTCAGCCTTGATATGACCTGATTCAGCTAAACAAAGCTGGGGGGTTGGGGGGAACAAGACCTGGGGGACTTGTCGGCTCACTGCCCCTGAGGTAACCATTAATCCCTCCCCTGGGGGAATCCAGAGGCTGTTCCCTCAAGGAGCAGATTCTTGGGCAGAATGGAGGAACACACGGAGGCAAGCTTGGCACCAGAGCTGGTGGACCAAAGGGTCCTAATCGACAATCCTGCTGACATCCTGGTCATTGTTGCATATTTCCTGCTCGTGATTGGTGTCGGCTTGTGGGTGAGAAGTTGAGGGGGTGCTGCTGGGGGATGGGCTTCTGGGGGCCTTGAAGAAAAGTCTTAGAGAGACCTGGATCTTTGAGGGAGAAACCCAGAGCTGGGTGGCAAGCAGGTGATTTGGGGGCTCCAGGGAGGCCTAAACAACATTCTTTCCTTGTCTTCCCACCTTTGGATGGTGCTAGTTGAGGGCGTCAGTGGATTTGTAATGGGGTGAGCACTCTAAAAGAGGTTTCTGTTCCCCTGTCCACATTATGGCTGACCAGTAGCCCATATCCAAGGGCCCCAGGAAAGTCAGGTTCCAGAATCCAGCCACATTAAGCTTGGGTAGTTGGACACTAGGATCCTGGGTTGCTCTGGGTGTCTGGGTGGCTTGGGGTGGGAGTGAGAACAGTCAGGGGATCTGAGTGCTGGTTAATCTTCAGCCTGAAACAAGGTTGAGGAATGTGTCAAGAAGGCTAATGAAGTCCAAAGATATTCCCCCAACCCAGGTCTCCTCCAACTTCCATTCCCCAGTCCATGTGCAGGACCAACAGAGGCACTGTAGGCGGCTACTTCCTGGCAGGACGAAGCATGGCATGGTGGCCGGTGAGTGGGGCTGGGCTGTGGAATGGGGGTGGCGACAGAAGCAGCCTGGCTTACTCCTGTCTCTGGCCACCTAGGTTGGGGCCTCTCTCTTTGCCAGCAACATTGGCAGCGGCCACTTCGTGGGCCTGGCGGGAACCGGCGCTGCAAGTGGCTTGGCTGTGGCTGGATTTGAGTGGAATGTGAGGCCCCCTTTTTGCTAATAGCCCCTCCCCCAGTGGGAATCTCTGGAAGGGCCAGACCTTGGGGGAATATGAGACTGGAGGTGGGACTTCCCAATTGTGACATGGGTCGGGCTGGAGTGAGGGTTGCGCATCCAGCTCAGAGGCAGGGGATGCACGAGATGACCACTTTCAGGGCAGGGGTAGGTGCTGTTCCTGACTTGCTGTGTGAGCCTGCACGGATCACTACCCTCTGCAGACCTTAATTTACTTCTCTTTGAAGTGGGGCGGGCAGCCTCAAGGATGGAGAAGGACCTGTTTTTGTGCCCTTTGAAGCTGTGGTCTGTGAGGATCTTGGGCCAAATTAAAGCCCTTTGCAGAAATGGGAAGAAGAGACAAGCTCTGGGACTGAGGCTCACATTGGAGCGATGGGGAGATCAGGGCTTTGAGCTCAGGATTTCCTGGGGGAGGACGCCTCTGAGCTGAGGGACAAAAGCTTTGGGTCGGTGGAGGAGAGGGGAAGCAGCCCTGTCTGGTAGAGGCTGGGGTCAGTCTGAGGGGTCTATGCTTGGTTTCACATGCTAGAGAGGGGGTGGAGGGAACATAGGGCCTGTCTTGGGAGGGACCGGCCAGGGGTGATGACCTGGGAGGGCATGGGGGGGGGGGGCTCTAGTTAAGGGCCCAGGAAGATGTCAAGACTTGATTCATTAGTGCCCAGGGCTACCATGTGCAGTTGTCTTCTGGGCCCCAGGAACAGCCCTTCTCAGGGCCACTGCCTTCGAGTAGCATGTTCAGGAAAAAAGTTTTCTCAGATCCTTCAGGGGAGAAGGCAGGCTCACGGCAGGATCTCAGACACGGAGTCACCCTCAGCCGTCCCGCTGTGCCTGCAGGCGCTGTTCGTGGTGCTGCTACTCGGCTGGCTCTTCGCTCCGGTGTACCTGACCGCGGGTGTCATGACGATGCCGCAGTACCTGCGCAAGCGCTTCGGTGGCCATCGTATCCGCCTGTATCTGTCCATGCTCTCGCTTTTTTTGTACATCTTCACCAAGATCTCGGTGCGCATGCGTGGCGGGTGGTCTAGGGGCCCTAGAAGGGCGGGGCCACCAAGTGGAGATCTCTGGGGAGCCCTGGAGGGTGCCGGACCAAGGAGAAATCACTGTAAGAATCACGATGGAGGGCTGGCCGATTAGCTCAGTTGGTAGAGTGTGGTGTTGATAACGCCGTCTCCAGCTACTTGGCACCGCCTGTGTCCGCTGTCTTCGTGCTGGCGCTCTTCGTGCCCCGCGTTAACGAGAAGGTGGGTGGTGTGAGTGCCTTGTGAAGCTGGGGCAGGACCTAGACATTCTGAGCAGGCCGATGTTAATCTCTCCTGTAGGGCGCCTTCTGGGGACTGATTGGGGGCCTGTTGATGGGCCTGGCACGCCTCATTCCGGAGTTCTCCTTTGGGTCGGGCAGCTGCGTGCTGCCCACGGCATGCCCAATGCTCCTCTGCAGTGTGCACTACCTCTACTTTGCCATCGTGCTCTTCGTCTGTTCAGGACTCCTCGCCCTCACGGTCTCGCTGTGCACTGCACCCATCCCACGCAAGCATGTAAGTACTGGCCTCCAGATGAGCTGGGTGCCCTAAACGTGCACCGTGTGGGCCAGACCATCTCCACCTCCACCTGCTGGCCTGCTTCTAGGAATGCCCAGTGGGAACCTGAATTTCTATCCTGAGGGTTAGTGGGAGCAGGCTCAGAGTCCAGTTTGAAGTTGCATTGGCAGAAGCAGCACAACCCTTTTATATGAATGACATTTATTTAAAGTGGTCTCACGGGAGGTGGCCTAAAGATTTTGGCGGATTGGTGGTTAAAGCCCCCCATCCCCAAGCCAATCCTTGGCGTGGCCTTTGGTACTCAAAACACAGAATCTGACTGATGGCTGAGTGTGACAGAGAGCCCACAAAAAGGTGTGCTGCAGGGCTTAGGGGGATGGGGAGGTACAGGACAAAAGAGGTGGGTCTGGAAGGATGTGCAGGGTTCCACAGCAGCAGGATGAAACTGTGAGCAAAGAACCCCAGGAAGGAACACTGTGTCAAAATGACTGTAAGAGCAGAGCCTGAAGTACAACAATCTGGGTGCAGACAGCAAACCTGGGGCAGTGAAGCAGGGTGGCGAGGCTTTAAGTACCAACTGTGAGCAAAGAACCCCAGGAAGGAACACTGTGTCAAAATGACTGTAAGAGCAGAGCCTCAAGTACAACAATCTGGGTGCAGACAGCAAACCTGGGGCAGTGAAGCAGGGTGGCGAGGCTTTAAGTACCCAGCTGAGGAGTTTAGGGTTTAGCCTGAGGGCAAAAGGCAGCCACGCAAGGTCGTTTGAGCTGAGCCTGGGCTAGGTGTGCAGACTGGACAGAGGGAGGTTAGGGAAAGCAGTGATGGGTTGGTGTGCCAGTGTGGACAAGAGACCTTAGGGTCTGGGATGGGGGACAGAAACCCTACTCGGTCCCTGCTCCCGTCCCTCCCCAGCTCCACCGCCTGGTTTTCAGTCTACGGTACAGCAAGGAGGAACGGGAGGACCTGGATGCTGATGAGCGGGAAGGCTCCTCACTCCCTGTACAGAATGGGTGCCCAGAGCACGCAGTAGAGATGGAGGGTAAGACAGCATCTGAGGAGGTGGGGCTGGGGAGCTGGCAGAGCCAAGTGCCCTCACATTAACATCTGGGCCTCAATTTCTCCCAGAGCCCAATTCCCCAGCACCAGGCCTGTTCCGCCAGTGCCTGCTTTGGTTCTGTGGAATGAGCAGGAGTGGGGCAGGTGGTCCTCCATCCCCTACCCAGGAGGAGGTGGCTGTGGCAGCCAGGCGGCTGGCGGACATCAGTGAGGACCCGGTCTGGGCTCGTGTGGTCAACCTCAATGCCTTGCTCATGATGGCTGTGGCCACATTCCTCTGGGGCTTTTATGCCTAAGGCCAGCTGTGTTAGACACTGTGAGCCAAAACCAGGGTAGGGTAATAAGTGGTCGCAGGGAGGCTACAGTGGTCCCCAGTAAAGGGGAAGGTATGGGAGTGGAGTGGGGAGGCCCAGGTTCTCCTCTCTGCCTGGGGCCCAGTCCAGTTGATTGGCAGTCACTTCTCATGAGGGCTTGGCCAACCTACCACAGCAGTCGCTCTAAACAAAAATAAAGCTGCCGTTCCCACATCCTTCTATGGCCAAAGTGTCTTTGCTCCAGGCTCCTGTCCTGGGCCTCCGTCTGCACTGCTCACAAGACCTTCTTTTCTGGAGACAGGAGCCATGTGGCTCTCCACTCATCCACCTCTAGCTGGTGCTTCTCGGTCTTCCAGCCAGCATCCTGCAATCCTGGGGAAAGGTCATGGGTGTTGGGAAGGCTGGGGAGGAAACACTGGGTAACCCTAGGGAGAAGGGTAAGGAGAGGCCAGGTGCAGGCTCTGTGCACTACTTGGGCTCTCTTGCCTCTGCTGGGTGATCTCTGATATAAAATGAGGTTAAAACCTCATCTGGTTGCAGCAAGAATTTACTAAGATAGCACATGAAAGGGTTGGCCAGTTGGCTCAGTTGGTGGGGCATGGTGCTGACACTACCAAGGTCATACCAGCCAGCCACCAGAAAATAAACAAACAAAAAACCAGTTGAGATAGTACATGGAAAAGGGCTGGAATGGAGTGGGTGCTACCTAAAAGGCGATCGTCAGTAATGTGAGCCCTACTCCCCTCCATACTCCCATTTCCTAAATGCTGACTGAGATTACACAGACTGTTAACAGGGACACAGCTCAGAGACCATCCTCATCTTCCCATCCTACAGATAGGGACTTACACAGACCTCAACACTGACACAGCACAGAAACCATCCAAACCTCTCCATCCTAGACAGGGAAACTGAGTCCCAGGCTTAAGATCATAGAGAGAACCCAGGTTTTTTATCTTCCAGATGGAAGGGTAGGGGTTGGGGTAGGCAGGGCTGCTGGAAAGAAGGCTCCAGGGACCAAGGAGTCATGAGACTGAAGGATGTTACCTTTCAAGAACTTTGGGAACAGCTTGTCCAACATTTGATGTGTTTCCTTGACAATGATCCAGCTATCTTTCCCAGGACCTGAGGTGGGGTACAGAATCAGAAGCTCTTGTATCCTCCAGCAGGACAGTCTGTCCTCTCTCCATCCCTGCTCCGAGTCATCTGCAGTCTAGGTCATGAGGCTCTTACCTGCCTGCAAGTGGTTCCTCAGCTTCTCCAGCTCTCCTGGTAGGGGTCCATCTCCCTGTAGGGCTCCGAGCACCAGCCCGTGTGTAGCGGCCCTCAGTACAGTCTCAGGGCCTGCTGTCTGGCTCAGAACTACCTGTACCTGGTCTGGAAAGACCCAGGGACAGACTGGTGTCAGGAAAGGACCACCTTCCTGAACACCCTCAACCCTATCCCCTGCTTCACCCCTGTCTGCCTGCAGAGGCCTTAGCAGAGGCCTCAGATGGCATGGAAGGCCATCTCCTCACCCCTTCCTCTCCAACTTCTGTTGCTCCCCAATGCTCTGGCCAAAGTGAAATGGCCAATTTCCGAGTGCAACTTTACAGCGGCCCACTGAGGTGGGTTTATTTTGCATTTCTTAAATGGTACTTCTGTTGCTCCCCAATGCTCTGGCCAAAGTGAAATGGCCAATTTCCGAGTGCAACTTTATAGCGGCCCACTGAGGTGGGTTTATTTTGCATTTCTTAAATGGTTAGTGAGAATAAGCACTTTTTAACATGCGACCAGCAGACCAGTAAACTCAAGGACTTGTTCCTCCAAGCAGCGATCCAGGATGGGAGAGAAGAGTGGCTCCCCAAGGACAGCCACGGTCATCCCTTATCTGAGTGTGTTGCAATGTTCAAAGTGCTTTTATATAATCACCTTATTTGATTCTCATAAAAACATTACAGGTAATAAGGCAGGTATTGTTAGTTCCATTTTACAGAGGGGTAAAGTGAATTTCGTTGGGACATGCAGCTATCATTTGAATGCATGTCTTAGTCAAGAGCACCCTCCAGGATACCAAGCAGCCTCCAAACTGTCCAGAGCCTGTGGCCCTGGAGCTGGAGGACTGAGCTGACCTCAGGAGGGTGGGTAAAAAGGCTGGGAGAATGAGGCACACTCACTCCGTGACTGGTCCCAGCAAAGGAGGTAGGGCTCTTGGTGGCCCTCAATCAGCTGCTGTAACTCAGAGACACTGGGGAGAGAAGAGAGTGCAATAGGGGAGGAGAAATCAAAGGCAGGATCACCTACCCTGTCAACTGAACAGCCACCTCACTGTTACTCATAACTGTCCATGCTTCATCCATCCCTCATTCACTTTCTGCCGATCCCCCAGCCACACCCCCCGCATCCTTCCTTTCTTCCTGTATCCAGCCATCCATCCTTCTTTCATCCAACAAACATACCCCTACATCATCTATTCCATGTTAGACCCCTGCTGCATTCATGTACCCTCGCTGACCTCCAAGTCTGTTCAATGGAAATGAAGAACCAAGAACAGAGAGGTGGGACTTTGTTGGGGAGACCGGTGTGTCACCAGAATAAGGAGCATATGTGGGTAGTGTGGGTGGCAGGAGTGATGAGCAGAAGACCCTGGGACACTCACCTGGAGATCAAGCGATGTAGGGGCACCCCCAGGGAAAGAGACTGAGATGGCCAGAAACCTGTGGGAAGCTAGAGTCAGGAAGCGTAGGCAGTGGGAGGGGTTGGGAGACACAGGACTTGAGAACAAGGGGTTAGGTCACCTGTCCACAGTGGCTCCATGTGATTGGCTGAAGTGGGGTCAAGTACCTCCCCGCTCTGGAGGAAATGCTTCAGGACCAGCCGGAGCCGGCCTTCATTCAAGGTCTCCATGACGAGGGCTCGGACTGCCCGGTAGTTGGCGTAGATGTGGAGGGCCGTAAGGAGCAAGAAACACCCAAGGCTGAAGCTGGGGCAAGAGAGGGAGGCGGCCAGTGTAGGCAGAGGCCCAGTTGGGCACTCTCTCCCCACCCGTGTCCCTGGCTTACCCAGGCCGATCTGACACCAGAGGAAGCATCAGGAGGCTGACCAGGAGCCCTGCCAGGTTCACCAGTGTCTCCTGGAAAAGAGCAGAGGGGTCAGGAGTTGGGGGGCTCCCCTCCAGGCCAGACTCAGTGCCCCTGACGGCCTTTCCCACACTCCTCCCTGCTCCAGCAGCTGCCAGAGTAACCAAACCTGATGTGGATGTCAAGTAAATTTCCAACATTTTTGGTGAGTGAGCTGTCATTTAAAAGATGCTAGCTGCTTCTCTGCCCAGGTAGATACAATGCCCTTGGAACACCCTTGGCACAGGTCTTCTTTGCTTTGCAAGAGTCACCTGAGTAGCCCCACACTCAGGCAATCACTGTTGTGTAAGTAGCTCTTCACACAGAGTGGAAACTGCTTTTATTTTGTGGTTTGTATTATCTTTTTTTTTTTTTGGTGCAACTGGCCAGTTCAAAACCTTGACCTTGGTGTTATCAACACCATGCTCTAACCAACTGAGCTAACCGGCCAGCCCTACTTGGTGGTTTGAAAATGCCAATCCCATACCAAACCTTTGGAATGCAATAATTTGTCAGGGGAGACAAATTTGCAAAGAGGTCAAGGAGCCACATGGGAAGAAAAGAAATCTCACCCAAACCTTTTCCCTTGTGAATCAAGTTCTCAGAATCATCTGATGGCTGAACTGAGGTCACCCTAGGGAAAAAGGCCCCAGGCCACCTGCTCCCAACTCATGAGGGACGAGGAGCCTGGACTGGTGCCCCTGACTACTGGGGTTGCAGGGAGGGTTGGTCCTGGCACAGAGGAGGCCTGAAGTTGGAGAGCTCTGCTGACGCAGCCCCCCCCCCCCCCCCCCCCCCCCCGCCAGGGGGGGGGGGGGGGGGGGGGGGGGGGGGGGGGGGGGGGGGGGGGG